ACATGCTATAGTTACCTAACACTTGCAGTCACAGGGGTTACCTGTTTAACTGCTACATTACACTATTTCTACCCTTGTAAAGTTCATTAGAACTTCAGTACCCATCTTTTCGGCATCTTCTTCATTATCTCTTACTAGCTGCAACTCAGAACCATCAGTCTCATTTATCTAGACTACCAATCCAGATAGCCCAGTATGGTATACTTCTGTATCCTTTTCTTTTGGCGAACCCAGCGGCCTGGTTGGTTATATGCTCCTCTACACATATTTGCCATCCAGTTTTAATCTTTGGTCCCTATAAAGGTGTTTCATGGCCTTCAACCAGTTCAATGGTATCGTCAAAAGTTCATGTTACCTCTTTACTTGGGAATTTCTAAGTAGGTTTTCGTCACCTCAGTTCCTTAGTCTTCTATGCCCAGTGGACTTATCGTGGATTTGTACCAAAGTCTTATGCAATACCGGTTAACATTCCTCTATGTACGTGTAACATTACACTTCGCATAGATACCTTGAGCTCCCAAAGCCAGAGGGACCTGGCCTGGTGTACCTGAGTAACAGCCACATGAGGCCAACTAATCGACAGGAAACAGTTATCATAATACAGATATAATTTCCAAATTTCGTCATAGGTGGGATTTGAACCTTAGACCTGCCACTTGAAGGATAACAACCCAACCACTACACTAGGATTGCTATCCTCATTAATTATATTTTTATATTCTAAGTAATCTGATTCTATATATAAATTTGTACTAAAAATATATAATATTATTTTAAATTTTATAATTTTAAAGAAATGATACCAAATTTTATTAAATTTTAAAATTTTTGATTAAAAAATCCAAAATTTGACATTATTTTCAAAATATAAAATTTAATATATTATTATAATATTATTTTATGTGTAAATCAGATTACTTAAAAGATAAAAATTAAATTAATTAGTAAAAATTTAAGAATAATAAAATTTTCTATATTTTTATTAATAAAATTATTAAAATTTTTATAATTCTTCTAATTTTATTAATTAATTTTATATGTTTTAGATAATCTAATTCTACATATAAAATTATATTAAAAACACAATATTATTTTAGATTTTATAATTTTAATAAAAAGATATCAAATTTTATTAAATTTTACTAAATTATACTAAATTTTGAAAATTTATTTGAAATATCATTTAGAACTAAGATTCAAAACACTTAAAACCTAACCCCAGAGCATCACCCGGGCCTAAGAGTTAAAAAATTATAAAATTTAAGATTTAAAACACTTAAGATCTAGACCCGGAACATCACCTGAGCCTGAAAACTAGAAAACTATAAATTATAAATATTTTACATATTTTTAAATATAGATTAAATTTATTTAAAAATTAAATACAGAATCTGAGATCTAAAACACATAGAACCTAGCCCCGGAGCATCGCCCGGGCCTGAGAGCTAGTTTATTCTTAAAAGTATATTGAAATGAGTAATACTTTGACTATTTTAATAATATTAAAGTTAAAAAAATGAATATATATACATAATAAATTGCCATATTATGGATTAAAAATTTTTATCTGGTTTTAAATAAATGCAATTTGCATAACTGCAAATAATGAGTTGAGCGGGTAGATTCTTATATAGTAAAATAATTTCAACTCTACCTAAGAAATTTGTATCAATTAATTTCATCAGCATCTCTAGTTCCATCTTATTGTCATTTTTTTTTGTCTCTGTATGCGATGAATATTATTTACATTGGAATAAATTAAAGATAGCACAATAACTAAAAAATGATTAGCGCACCTGCCTTCGCCGAATTGACATAGCTGCAACCCGATGCCAAGAGATCCTGGTTGCATTTAACCTAAAACAAGAAGGTATTATGGAATATAAATCACTAACCGAAATTAGTAAAGCGATAAACAATGTTCAGTATGCCTTACCAATTTTGATTAGTTTAATAGAAAAAGTTCCAAAATGAAGTACGCACGTACGTACATACTACGTACAGTGTATACGTGCGTACGTATTGCTCCGATTATTTACTAGGAATGGGTCAACTCCAAATGATATTAATAAATGCAATTGATTGATATTAACTAATTTTGTAATTTAAGTTTTTTATGAGTAGAGCTTTTTTTTAAGCCTGGCGTATACAAAAAAGAACAGACGCGTAACAATTCAATTAATATTTGACATTTCGATACGCCAACTATTATTAAATTTAAATGCTTTAACTAAATCATTCATTAATCATAAAAGATATTGTTAATAATGACGCAATTTTTTTCACTTTTCGTCATTTCATACGATGTACATAAATACCTGTAAATTTCATTTACTTTACTTCTTTTCATCGCTTTGTAACAAAAGTCGTATTTATTTATTTATTTATCGAACAAAACAAATTAAAAACCTCTATTATTTATTTGCGTCCTTCGTTTAGTCTTTCCAATTAACAAGATATGGATAATATTGAAGAGGTTAATATGACATCTGCCAATATGTCGAATAAAGATACGGCTGGTGAAAGTGGTGATGTGGTTCGGGATGGTTCAAATTTTAATCAAGATAATAAAGATGATGAAGCATTAGAGATGAAACAAATAAATAAAAAAGGCGATGATGATTCATCTGTTAGTAATAATTTGTCTTTTTGTCCTTAAGTACTGTGACATTATCAGTTTTACAATATTTATTATTTTCGTGTCTCATTTAATATAAGATTGAACAATATTTACAAACCGATCCAAAAACCGGTTTGACGACAGAAGAGGCTGAAATACGTTTGAACCAATTTGGAAGAAACGAAATTACAGAAACAAAGCCGTAATTTCCTATGTTTCATATTTAATTTCGATTATTACTTCAATTTATATATTTATTGATTCTTTAATGGTTATAGTAATATGTTCTTAAAATTCATTTCATACTTTCGAGGTCCGATCGCCTACTTGATTGAACTAGCTTGTATAGTGGCAGGAATAGTTAAAGATTGGGTAGATTTCGGCATAATCCTCGCGCTTTTGATTGTTAATGCATGTATAGGCTTTATAGAAGAAGCACGTGCAGAATCTGCGTTAGAAGCGTTAAAGCAGACTTTAGCGTTAAAAACGAAAGCTTGGCGTGATGGAAAATTGGTCGAATTGGATTCTGCAGAATTGGTTCCGGGTGACATTATCACTTTGCGGATTGGAAATATTATACCAGCTGATGCAAAATTATTAGGAATTGGTGTTGCTGGTTCAGAATCCTCAGAATACTTGATGGTGGATCAATCGGCATTGACTGGTACGTGTATTATTATTGTTTTTTTTTTGATTATTTGGATTCTGCGAAATTTTTGACTAGTTTATATAATTTTAACCAAGGTGAAAGTTTACCGGTGCATCGCAACAAAGGAGATATTGTATATTCAAGGTGATTACATTATAAATAGTTTTTAACATGTTTTCTATATAACTGACCTTTTTCAACTATATTACGATGACAGTTCTATAGTTAAACAAGGACAAATGTTGGCTATCGTTGTCAAAAGTAAACAGCAATCTAATTTATAATTCTTTTAATTTATTAATTTTCAATACATTGTTTTTTTAACATTTAATTAATTTTGTAAAAAGCCGGGCAAGATACATATATTGGACGTGCTGCTACGCTTATGAACATGGCCGTGGATCAAGGTCATTTTCAAAAAATTGTCAATAAAATTGGCAATTTCCTGATTTTGATTACAGTCACTCTTGTAATAATCATTTTTATATATCAAGCGGTTAAATTTCGAAATACAAGTTCTGGTAATATATTAGTAATTTTGCAACATATTCTGGTGTTGACGGTCGCAGCTATTCCGGTACATATTTCTCTTGCGATGAGTTTTTTTTAAATGGTTATGAAATAATTATGATTTATTTTTGTCCCTTGCTTTTATAAAGGTCGGTTTACCAACCGTTCTTTCCGTAACTATGGCCGTAGGAGCAAAGCAATTGGCTGCCAAAAAAGTAATTATTAGACGCTTAGCAGCCATTGAAGAACTGGCTTCTGTCTCTATTCTTTGTTCTGATAAGACTGGTACACTCACCCTCAACGAACTATCCACTGATGAGTCATGGCTGACTCCTTCCTATACTGAATCCGACCTTTTCTTGTATGCATATTTGTGTTCAGAGCCGGGTACAGATGATGCTATAGAATTAGCTGTTAGGGATGCAGCAGAAAAAAAACTTGATATATTAAAAAATCTTGAAAATGAACATGAAATTCCTGGTTTCAAGATTAAAACATTTGTTCCTTTTAATCCTTCAAAAAAATTATCACAAGTTACTGTGATAAATCTTGAAACGCAAGAAGAAATTCAAATAGCCAAAGGTGCACCGCAGGTTATAATACATCTTGCGGGCGGAGATCATCAAGCCGATCTTGCAGTAGCCGATTTGGCGTCACGTGGTTTACGCGCTCTTGGCGTTGCAAAAACTAAACCAGTCAATCCTTCTACTACTGCAGATTCACAACAATTACAATGGGAATTGGTGGGATTTTTAAGTTTACTCGATCCACCTCGACCTGATTCAAAAGAAACTTTAAAAAAATGTAAAGAATTAGGCATAACTGTTAAAATGGTAACAGGTGATCAATTAATTATTGCTAAGGAAGTTGCTCACCGACTTGGAATGGGCAGAGCTATACTAGACACAAATCACTTGGTTGATCCCACAAAATCTGATGATGAAATTACTGAGCACTGTGTGAAAGCTGATGGTTTTGCTCAGGTAGTTCCTGAACATAAATATAAAGTTGTTGAATTGCTACAAAAGAAAGGATATCTTGTTGGGATGACGGTATTAATATATAAATGATTTTATTTATTTATTTTATTTTTTCTAGTTCTCATCTTTTATTTCCCTTTACATAGGGAGATGGTGTAAATGATGCACCAGCTCTAAAGCGCGCAGACGTTGGAATAGCAGTACAGGGATGTACGGATGCAGCGAGATCTGCTTCTGATATTGTATTATTAGCGCCTGGTCTTTCAACAATAATTGATGGAATGATGACTTCTCGTGCCATATTTCAACGCATGAGATCCTATTCTTTATATCGTATAACCTCTACGGTACATTTTTTACTATTTTTCTTTTGCATAATCTTGGCTATGGATTGGAGTTTACCAGCCGTATTGTTGATTATGATTGCGTTATTGAATGATGCAGCAACTTTAGCTATTTCAGTTGATAATGCTCAGGTATGAATGGGTGTGGTAAAAATGTGAAATTTAAATTTTTTTTCATTTATATTTGAATGTATTATTTTATCTACTATAAGATATCTGAAAGTCCAGATAAATGGCGCATCGGGCAACTAATCACGCTTAGTTTAATTATGGGAATGCTTTTAACAATGTTTAGTTTTGCACATTATTTTATTTTCTTGCATGTAATTAAAGTAACACCAGGTAATTTATCAAGAAAACCATACCCTCATCTCTCTTAATTTATTATTTTTCAAATTTGACCCTTCTCTCACAATCACCCAACATTGACAAAAGGACAACTTTACACGGTAATGTACTTACATATATCATCAGCTCCACACTTTGTAATATTTTCTACACGATTATCGGGTCACTTCTGGGAAGTTCTTCCATCACCGATCTTTGTTGCTTCAATATTGGGTACACAAATTTTTGCAATGATTTTATCGGGTTTCGGATTACTTACTGAAGCTATCGGATGGATTATGTCCATCGTTATTTTGTTGGTGGGTCTTTAAGGCATTCGAATTTTACTTATTTCTACACTTATAAATGTGTATATTAATCATTTTTATCATCTAACTGCTAAACTAAGTAGATCTCTTTGTTAATATTTGTATTCCTTGACTTTGTTAAAGTAATTGTATATCGTTATTGGACATTTGAATTGATAGCTAAACTTTGTCCATCATCAGCAAAGCGTGAAAAGTTAGCTGCACGTCGTGAACGATCTTTGTTAATGAAAAGAATTGCCGGAAATGTTGAAAAAATGAGAAAAGTATTATTAATGATTAAAGTTATTCGTGCATTTAGACAAGCAGTTAGTGAGCGACAAGCGATTAATGAACGGGAAAGATAAAGATTACATATGATAATGATATCTTTTTTAGATGGTTGTTTCTTAATGATATGCTATGTGATTATAGTTATTTTAATAAATTTTTATAAATGCGCGGTTCATAACCCGTTCATGAAGTTATTAATGTTAATAATACAAATTTCTGATTTATATCGATATGTTATTCATGAATTTAAAGATGTTTAATGTAGACTGAATTATCTTTATTTTTTTATACAGAAGTATTACTTAGTACTGCAATTTGTTTGACATACAGTCAAAATGCACTCTTGTAGATGTAACTATTTCTTGTTTCAGATCATGACCTTTGGTTATTTCCTATCATATTTTGTACAATCTACAGTATATCTCATTTATGCCTGAAAAAAATGATAATTCATATCAAGAGACAGTTCGAATTTGCAGAAAATTTAAATCGAAACTTAACAAAATTCGTTAACAGATCATGGCAACTGAAACCGTTAAAAGTACACAAATATGCAAGACTGAACTGAACATTCAAGGTTGCGTTGTTGATATTCTTATTATGGATGCATCAATAACAATACTTTTGGAGTATCAAAACAACTTTTTTTACGTGAACGTGAAATTTTGTATATAGGGGATATGCATCTCCGATAAATTCTTTTTATAATTAGCGGTGGCATAAATAGTAAAAACATATGGAATTTAGATTGCAATAACTCTTGAACAAGCAAACCCAAACAAATAAAATTATATAGATCTAGTTCGTTTCAGTGTACTCTTTAAAATAACAATAGTTATTATCTTTATTGTATTTTTAATTATATATATATGACTTGTATACAATTACGTAGCTATATATGAAACGTTTGATTGCTTATTTAAGTAGTCTGTTTGATGGTTCTATACTAGTTTCGTATCTGCAATTTAACTAAAGAATTGTTTATTTAAACTCTGATTTCTGTACTTCTCAAATTAAGAGTATCTGACTTCTATGCATCTAAATGTCTTCTTTCTTGTACATCTGTCAAGTTATTATATTTTTCAAAGCATGTCACCTGATTGTAAGGTTCTGAATGTCTTACTGCTAAATAATCTATCTATTTTATAAACTATAATTTTTTAAACTGTCTAAAACAAAACAAATATTAAAAATATATTATAAAATTGATATTGAGATTTAATAAATTCTATAAAAACATAATCTTGTTAATAGTCTGTTTTTGATATATTAAGTTTGGTCTAATATATTTTTATTCTAATCTGAAATCTAATAGTCTAATTAATAGTATTTTTTATTTAGAGATTTTGTTTATTCAATTTCTTTGTATTGGTATTTGTTTTTTAAATCTAGTTTTTATAATAATATTATCAAAGATTTATTTTATCTTTTTACTTAGATTTTTTTAAATAGGTTTTTATTTTTTAGTTTTATAAATTTATACAATCATAAGAATTTATTTTATATTTGTATTACTTAGTATTAGTTTATATTTCTTTGTATAATTAAAATTATACAAATATCTTATAATCTGTTAGTTATACTAATGTAATTATAGTTACAGATATTTATTCTAATTAATCAACAAAAAATAATTACTAAATATAAATAATTTAAAATTTTGTTTTTAATATATTTTAAATTTACAAATTGTTATTTAAAAAAATAACAGACTTATTTATTATATTAAGTTATTATGTTTTTAAAAATCTTTTAATAATAGATTTTTATTAAAAACAAGTTAAAAACATAAGATTTAAACAAAAGAAGATGTATAAATAAATAATATAAATATATATCTCTTTTTTATATATTATTACTCAAATCCAAATCTAGATGAGCCTTGACTACTCTTGTAGATTTAGGTTACAGATTATATGTTTGAGTCTTTATTCTTTATATGTAATTTAAAAGCAAACTTTTTTTTTATAAAAACTTCAATTGAATTTTAATAAAGTTAAAAACATAGCCTTACCATTAATATTTAAAAAAAAAAAAATAAATAATATAAATAATATAATAGAAGAAACAATTATAATAGCAACAAATTAACATATATTTAATCTAATATAATAATAAACAAAAGATATAGTCAAAAAGAACAATAACAAGAGAAAACTATTATAGAGTTTTAAAGATTAATTAAATATATAAAAACAAAGAAAGACCCAAAAGTAATAAAAGAAGAAAAAAGTAAGTTAAATAGAAAATTAAAAATACTAAACAAAAAAATTAATATGAAGTTACTAAAAATACAAAGATAATATGTTAAATGCTTAAATATAGAATATAAAAATTAGTAGAAAATACTTTTAAAAAAGAATAAAAAAGAATAAAAACAAAAACAAAAACATAAATAAAAAAATATAAATAAAAGATATAAAATAATCAAAATAAACCAAAAATAAATAATAATTAGCTTATTAAACAGATTATATAAAAAAATAATATTTAACAAATTTATTAAATAATAAAAAAAAAAATAAAACTAATAATAAAGTTAGAATTAACAAAAACAAATATAACAAAATATTACAAAAAACAGTTTAGAAAAGAAATACTAATAAAAAAAATATATAAAAAGTCAAAACTTATTTTTAAAAACTTTTTTTGATAATCTTTTGCACCAATTTTTCCACATATACTGACCTATGAAAATTATATAGTTAGTATGTTTATATATAACAAAACTTTGCCATATAGCATCTGGGTTCAAGAGTTTCAGATTACATATGGGCTATATAAAAAAAAATTAAAAAAAACAGCTCCTTGTAGGTTTGGCTCTTCAGTAGAAGTCTGAAGTTATTGAAAAAGTAACTTTGGCTACAATCAAGGAAGTTTTGTCAAGCTATATCTAAGCAGTACAAAAGATAGAAGCTTGGTTGAATATACTATTTTATATAATATAAACTCCTATACTCATTACAGTTGGTGCTATAAAAATTACTTTTTTACTTTTTTTCAAGAAATTTTTATCGAAAAGTAGGCAATTTAGTTTATCTTTATCAAAATCAGCATTGTTGATCCTTCCAAATCAGAATTGTTTATCAGTTCTATTCAGAAAAGGCCCATGTTACAAATAAAGCATAAGTACATATGTCTTGAAAAAACACAACAATAAAATGAGATTGGAGATTTTCACCAAAAATGAGATGATTGGTCAAAAATGTGACAAGTATCAAAATATAAGATCTGGTGAAAAGTACAATGAGTCATACATGAAAATGGATCTAGTAACAAGAAGTCAGGGTATCTAGCACATAGAAAATTCTTTGCTAGTTCAGTTTTGTTTGAATTGTTTCCCTTAGAATATAAGCTTTAGTATTAAATATGTTAATTAAATAGAGTTAAAGTAGAGATTACTGTATTTAGTATCATATAATTTTTAATAGACTAACATAGCCTTTATAATTAGTGACCATTTGTCTGGTCTTCATCAGCAATCCCCTTCCCTTTCATTTCTTGATATTTGTTTTTTTTTATGTTTCTCTTCTATACATATTTTTTAATACATTTTCTCTCAACAAAAAAAATTTTTTTGGTTTTTTATCTTCTTACAAACAAATGGTATCAGATTGGTACTGTTCAATTATAGGGTAGCAAACAGATGAGCTTGATCTAGACTTTAGCAGATCTAGTGCAGCAGATCACTCATAGGTGCAATTGGAATAACCGCATAATGATAGTATGTGAAGTTAGATATAGTTTTATTTGTATATTGTCTGTACTAAACATTTATAAATAAACTTCTAACTGGTTGACTATCATAGCTGCCAAAGATGGAAAATATATATATATATATATATATATATAAAGTTGAAAAAAATATATAAACTATAAAAATACATCAAAAAAATAATATAATAGAATAAAAAAAAAATAAAAAAAAATAAGATAATATAATAAGAGTATTTAAAATAAAAACAGCTTTTAGTATATCAAAAATAAACTATACTCTAATTAAATAAATAAAAAGAAAATATAAAAGATATTTAAAGTTTATACAGATCTATACTTAAAAACAGAAAAAATATTTATAAAATAAAAAATAATAAATGTTTATTTAATTTTAAAAGATATAAAATAAGTATATAGCTTAAATAATAACTAACTAATAGTACTAATTACAATATTTAGAAAGTTCATAATAAAGTTTACAATAATAAGATTTGGTAAAATATTTATTAAAAAAGAGATACTCAAAGAACAAATTACACAAACTTTTTAGAAAACTCTACAAAATAATTTGTATATATTCTAAATATAATAATAAAAAAAACAAAAAAAAAACAAAAAGTTGTAGATATAGTCAACTCTTTTTACTAATCACTTAAATATAAATTTGACAAAAAGCAAAAACCAAGTTTATATAAAAATAGCTATCTAAATCACTCTGGCATATCTAAGTAAAAAAGAAGAATATTCAGAAAAGATATAGAAAAAGAAAAAGCAGTTAACAAATAAGTTAATTAACAAAAAAGGAGCAATGAAAACCAAAATTTTTAAAGAAAATACTTGTAACCAAAAATTTTGAAAAATTGATATTAATTATGTATTGCAGATCTGTTTTGATCATGAAATCATAAACAAATAAGCAAACTAATTATATGCAAACCAAGCAAAACATACATATGCATAACTTAAAATAGAAATATGAATACATTAGAAGAGCATAATAATAGCTTAATAACAACATATATCAAAAGAGTATATTGGGCTATTAACAGTATGCATAATGAGATGTTTCTTAAACAAGCAAATAAAATATATATAACATTTGATAAAGAAAACAAAATTGTTACTATGCTAACAGAACAAAATTCAGACAAGATTGTACTATTAGAATAACAAAAAAGTTAATAGAAAGAGCAAAAAAAGAGTAGTCAGAAAAGAAGTTAAGCATAGTAGAACAAAATAACTATGCAATAATAATAGAATCTACCTTAGAACAAATATATGATAAATTAAAAGAATAATATTAAACAACAAAAATAGAAGTAATCCAAAAGATTAAAAATAAACTAATAACAAAAAT